GATCGAGGTATTAGTCGTTCCTGAACTACAACATATCTTAATCCTTGGAGTAGACTTCTGGGTCCAGATGGAGATCATCCCGAATTTGCGGAAGGGGGTTCTTGGAGAACCGGGAAATTTAAAGCCGCTTCGAGTTACCTTGCGTTTTGCTTATTTATTTGTGAGAATAGAGGAACTATTTAAATACTTTTATTTTACATTAAACATACATTAGTGACGCCTAAGAAATTTTGTAGAAAGAAGTTTAGGTAATTGTGCTAAGAGATTTAATTTGCGACCTTACAAAGTGCGTTAATAAAGAGAACTTTAAAGCGTTTTATCCGTATTCGGAAAAAGTAATGGTTCGAGTGTGTGTGTCGACCGGCACGGCGAGGCCTTTCCTCAAGTTTTTTTTTCGTTAAAATCAAAAGTCTTCCACCATTCGAAAAGCACAACATTTAGTCATTGAATTCCACAAATTCAGTTTGCCTAATAGAAAAGAGGAAATTTTGAGTTTATCAGCGAGCGTTCTGTTTAGTTCTTTGTGCGACAGAATATCGCAGTTAACGACCAAATTATTGGATTATTAAAAACTGTAAGTAATTAAGATTTTCTTTAATTAATGGTCTACCGATCGCTTGCATCCGTGGTATGTGTAAATAAGGCCTATCTTTGTTTAGTTTTTTTATGTGTTACCGAATAAATTTTTGTCTCTGTCAATCAAGTAGCTGTGTGATTAATCGAACCCAAACTGCGACCCAGATTAGAGTTTTCATGAAAATTTTTTCTGTTGGCACCGAAATTAACCTCGGTGTTAATCAAAATTTTCATAATTAATCCTTTGGAATATTGGAGAAGCGATCAGGGCTCCTGCCATTCCTAAATTAATAAAATCAAGCCTTTGTCGAGTTTTTTTTTCATTGTAGCGGAGGCCGAGCGTGTCTTGAGAAGTTTATAATCAAGTTTAGTTATACACATTCAAAATTGACGGTATATAAAACAAGAAGAATCAATCCGACACTGCGACACTCCATTTTCTAGATATTCATATTCAACTATTTTCATCGACAGTCGATATGTCTCGTCTAGACGTTCCAATCGCCCTTTGTGAGTACCCTCTCCCAGCTAGGGTTGGTAGAAATTAATTCCTTTCGTTGAACAGTTAAGACCTTTAATTAGAATGTCATGAACTATCAAACCAACTCCCCCCTCCCCTCTCTCCCTTTGATCTCTAAAAGGAATCGCAGAGGAAAGTTATAGTTTTTAGAATCCTATTCCTTTCGATGTAACCTCAGACAGATTGGTCGTCGCATGTAAAAGTTATCAGCATCTCGGGGGATAATTCATGATTCCTCCCCACCCCCCCTTCAAAACAACCAACTGTTACGGGTAGCTGGCTGGCAAAACCTCAAGGTTTCTATCGCAAAATTCCAGAACTATAGGACCATTCCCCTAAAAGTAGTTCAAAACGACAAAAGTGGGGGCGGCAGACGGACCGACGCTAAGACGAACAATCAGATAGACGGACCAGCGGACAGATGGCATTTTTTAATTTTTAATTTTTTAACTCTGCTAGACCCCTTCCTCCCCTTGAAACTTATAAGCCATTTTTTAGTTTATAGTTTAAGTCACAAGAAGATTAAAATTTATTGTGGAGCTATAGTTATCGTTTTTTTTAAACCGCCCTTCCCCCCTCCCAAATAGGTGTATAAATACGTCCAAACAAGTTAAGCGTCGAGATTCCTCAGCATCCTGCTATTATGATTCCGACAGCTACCCTAAACAGTCGAAGGACTTTCGTTCAAGTGCATCGAATAGTGATGTAGTTGTTATACAGTGCATTTCGTATTTCCACCTTCTGGTCTTTCGGTAAGGTGTGTTGCATAACCATAAGGGCATGCAATCATATGGTGGTTTTTAAAAATGAAAAAGTGAGTCAACACGTCCTTATTTGATACTAATATTCCGAAACGCTCAGTGGTCAACTATTCGTAATTGTGCACAGGCCTTTAGGTGACATTTAAGGGTGGAGATACTATGCTATACTTGGGGTATTAGGTACATGTGCTTCAGCTCATACGCTACTTTCTATAATCTAGGGAAATTAATCGGAATCCTATATTAATAAAAGACCGCAATAGTCATATCCTCTTTTATATATATGACAATAGTCTCCAGGTTCTTAAACAAGAAAATGCGGGAAGTTTGAAATATCCAATAAAATTAGTTGAAAAATGTTGGTGTGAGAAATCCATGACAACTGTAAACAAAACTAGAAACAAATAGCCCCAAAAGGCGAAAAACGGATTTGCATTTGCTGTTGATCAAGAATGAAGATCAAAGGGCAATTATTGTTTCCAGACGGCTTACGCCATTTTGAAGCAAAAAGTACTAAGAAAATAATTTGAAATTAAATTAATAGAGAAATTGTGTTTCACGTTAACGATCTGAAGTCAAATCAATATCTAAAGTATTACGCCAGGGAAAGCAGCAAACATAACGGACTGATGAAATTGCAAATGGAACACTTGGAAACGTGTTGATATCACTCCACGAGAGAGCTCTCTATTTGTGCCGTCTTTACGTTACGAAACAGTAGTAATAGGTAATACCAGAAGCCCCCAAGTAAAATAAAAATTGTTTATACGTCATTGTCTATAAATTTTCCACCCAAGGAAATGGGTCCTTTATGTTCTGTTCTACGCGAAATATTGGCGGACTTATTCGTCCAATTTAACGGAGATTGCTCATACGACCTTAGGGCGTAGGCGAACGAATTCGCCCATCTTTAGCGTCGCGAATTTCCATATTTCGTTTTAAATTCATTAACTTGAAACCTCGGTCGTAAATTAATCATGCGGGACGCGAGCTCGACCACGCACTCTTTTGCGCCACTGGAAAATTGACCGCAAAGGTCCCGACCGTCGTCCCCCGTATAAAAACGACGAAAGGGCCGCATAAATTTGCGTCTCTAACAGAATTTGTATATTTCGCCCCGGTAGAGGTTTTCAATTTCGCACGTATATCATTTTAGTAATATGATTATGGAAATTAGTAGCGGACTATGGCAATTAAATTTGCATATCACCTCTTTACAACAAAGCTTATTCCCAAGTTACGCGAAATATTCCAGAATACTTTTCCACTAATTGATGAAAATTGAAATGATTTCAGTGCCACGCTAAAACGTCTACAGATGTAGGCATCTATCAATTATATAAAACGTCGATTGGAGATACGTCCCGTTTCCAATTCCCACAAACAGATCGATCCACGTTTCGAATGTACAAGGTTGTTTTCCAACACAATTGGCTTTGCAATTTTAATTTAGTTTATATCGTCTTTATTTACAGTTTACTCCTTTACGGTTTCATTGTTCCTTTACAATTTCACAGTTAATGAGGTTTCTTACAAACATTGCTGATTTTCAAAGCGAAACTTCAAAGTGTTTATTAAAAAATTTAGACATCTTTCTCTTTGCGTGCCGAGTACAACAAAGATAGCAAAATAGGGTGCTTATTATTTCGAGTTCGTGCTACCTATAAAAAAATAAATTACGTTGTGCACAATGTATAAATAATCATATCTCAAGTCATATTTGGTTTTTTTTAATTCCAAGAGAAGAAATCTATGTGACATAATTGCTTTTGCTTTTGATCTGAAGTGTCCTTATTATCCCAGGGTTTGGTTCGGTGTTGTTCGATCACAATAACGTATAATTAAACTAATGGATTCTCAGCACTTGTCGCACAAAAAATTTAAAGACTCACTCTCGTCCCTTGCTCCAATTAGATGGTAGTCACGATCCTAAAAATCCAAAGTTTGCGTTTTTTAAATGCAGTTAAAATAAAAAAACGCCTTTCGATTGTGATGACGCGGGTTCGAACCCCCTGAACGCGCGCTTTTTTTTCTATAACAGATCGCACCAAAAAAAAGGAGCGAAGGATTGCGAGAAAGAAAAAGGTAATCACCGCTGTCGGCACTTACAAAGTGCCACTTTCAGATTGTTTAACATTTCATTAAACCACCAGGTTTTAAAAAGTTTTTACGAGAATAACACCATTATCTACAGCATTTTTAGATAGTGCGTAACTAGTCATTAATGGGAATTACTTTCCTCCCACTGTTCTTTGTGACAGTTTTATTTTCTCAAGTAGATATGAATTATTATTGGTGAAGTACCACTGTAATTTTTGTTGGAGTACTACTATAGTTTCCAAATTGTTTCGTAGTTAGTCGTGGCGAATTATGAATGGGGGACTCCTTAAAGCGAGTTTGGAATGCGCTTGATTATTTTGCGAGCACGGCCAAACTTAAGCGGATTCTCATTTTGGAGGATTTAAATTGAATTTATTAAATACGCAAGTGGCCGCCATTTGCTGAATTAATTGTTGTATCATGTACTCTGCTTTATATGGAGTTTGAATCAAGTCGGAGGTATCTCAATTTTTTCGTTCCAATGGAAGTTACATGTGATTTCTTTACACGGTTTTAATTTTTTTGTTTGTTTTGAGTTAGCATTGTATTCCCAAGCTCTAATTTTCAAGTTTACATCCACGTTTTGTTTAAAGTTCCAATTTTAATTGACTTTGGGCCCTTGATTCCTGAGCCCAAAGTCAATACCTTATCTAAGTTAACCTACAGACAGCGCTTGCAGAAGAGAACAAAAATTGGATCAAGAGGTCATTTATTTACTTTCATTAGTCGATTAACCAAATTTTAAATAGTGGTTAATTTCCTCTTCAACGTTAACTTCTTTAAATTTTCGATGTTAGGGAGTGTACTAACTTTACTGAGATGGTCACCATAGGAGGAGTTGCAACACCAGCCCCACTACCGCAACGCCAGACGCCTCGACGGTGAACTGTGAACTGAAAGCTGCCTGCGCTATCTAAAAAGCACAAACGGGAGTTACGTTTGGCATCTTGTCTTGAATGGCGGACGTGAACGCGTCGCTCCATAAATGTTTGTTGTTATTTGTGTTATTTAAGCTTCGTGCAAGCTTGAAAGGAGAACCTTCCTTAAAATTAAGTTCCTTAGAGACTATTGATCAAAATTATACTATTGCTTGGGAAGCATTGAAAAAACGCTATAATAACAAACGTAGAATCATTAACACGCACGTACAAAATTTATTAAATCTTGAACCGATACTTGATATGCGCGCGAATTTACGAAGGTTTATAGATACCATTGAAAATAATCTTCAGTGTCTAAAGGCCAACGAGCAGGATGTTGATAAGTGGGATGCTATTTTGATACCTATAATTTTGAGCAAACTAAATTTAACTATCAATCAAGAATGGGAGGAGAAATTAAACGAGAAACCCGATTCAAATAATAAGTTGCCTTTGTTGTCAGAGTTGTTAGAATTTTTAAATACAAAAACTAATGTACTAGAGAGCATATCGGATAAGAAACCAGACTCATATTTAGGTGATTCCTCAAAAAAACCCTATATTAAAAATACTACTCCAGTAAAACTCAAATTTGGAAATCACATATCTAATCGAACTTTAACCTCAACCACACTTTGTTGTCCTAATTGTAATGGAAATCATCTTATACAGCAATGTGATGCATTTTTAAAAATGGATGCAAAAAACCGAATCGAACGTGTAAAGGTACTTAAGCTTTGTCTAAATTGTTTACGAAAGGGGCATTTTATTAGCAATTGCATTTCTTCAAGATGTAGGACGTGCCATCAGAAACACAACACTTTGTTACATTTTGATACTAAGGTAAAAGAAGCTACGTCCACTTCTGTAATTCAATTTAACGATTCACTTCCAACAGTTCCAACCCAATCTGGGGAAACTGTTACACCAAATGAATGTGCATCATATTACAACAATTCACAATGCCAACAAATTTTATTATCAACAGCTAAAGTTGACGTTTATAATTACAATAGTGAACCTATTCGTGTAAGAGTTTTGCTAGATTCTGCATCGCAATCTAATTTTATAACGGAAAGAACCTGTAGAATGTTAAATCTACCCATGCAACCCTCTAATACCATAGTGACAGGAATAAATCAAAGTTCCTCCAACGTCAAATTTTCTACGACAGTCAAATTGAAATCTATCTATTCTGATTTTAGTATCGAACTCAACTGTTTTGTTATTCCACAAATAACTACTCAATTACCTTCGATTACATTGAATTTGGATAATTTGCATATACCTTTAAACATAAAACTTGCAGATCCCACATTTTATCAACAAGGCTGCATAGATATTCTAATAGGCGCAAGTATATTTTATGAATTGTTATCTATAGGTCAAATCAAACAACCAAACGGGCCTTTGTTTCAAAAAACAAAGCTAGGTTGGGTAACATCAGGTAGTGTATATAGTAAAAAACCAGTAGACAAAACTGTATCTTTTTTAACAATGATAGAACTAAACAATGAATTGAAAAATTTTTGGAAAATTGATGAATTTATTTCAAGGTCCAAATATTTAACCGAAGAGGAAGCTTTCTGTGAATCGCACTTTACAGAAACAACCACTAGAGAATGTGATGGAAGATTCATTGTCAAACTTCCATTAAAAACCAATATTGATCAATTAGGGAATTCTTACAATGTAGCTAAAACCAGATTTGAGAATTTAGAAAGAAAATTTAGTCAAAACATTAATTTTAAAAATTTATATGTTGATTGTATTCAGGATTACATTACCCAAAATCATTTATCCAAGAGTGAACTCAATGAACCTGATTCATTTTATCTTCCGCACCACGCAGTAGAAAAGGAATCCAGTGAAACTACCCGATTAAGAGTTGTATTTGACGGTTCGTGTCACTTAAATAAAGGTATACCCATAAATTCAATACAGTACGTTGGTCCAACCATACAGGATGATTTATTTTCGATATTAGCCCGTTTTAGAACCCACCCTTACGTTCTCACAGCAGACGTAAAGCAAATGTATAGACAAATTCTCGTACACCCCGATCATAGGAAATATCAAAAAATCATTTGGCGAGCAGTTCCTTCTTTACCACTTGGGCTGTATTACTTAAACGTTGTCACGTTTGGCACAGCTGCTGCGCCATATTTAGCTATTCGCTGTTTGTTTGAACTCGCTAATTTAAATGAATTCCAGTTTCCAATCGAGTCTCAAATTATTAAAAGTGATTTTTATGTCGACGATGTACTTACGGGTGCTAGTTCTGTAGAAGAATTGAAATCTATACAAGCAAATTTAATTACTATTCTTAATCAGGCCAAATTCTCTTTACAGAAATGGAAAAGTAACGTACCAGAACTTAACCATCAAAATTGTAATTTAAAAACTAACTCTACGGAAATAATCACCAAAATTTTAGGGATGTATTGGAACCCAAACAACGATACTTTTACATTTTCTTTAAATAATCTTAAGAATGCCTCTAAAGTGACAAAACGGTCAATTTTAACTACAGTAGCTCAGTTATTCGACCCTTTAGGTCTTTTGGCGCCAATCATTGTCATAGCGAAACTAATATTACAAGAGTTGTGGCGAAGTAAATGTAGTTGGGACGAGTCTGTGCCTATCAACATGCACACCAAGTGGATGAAATTTAAGTCAGACCTAAATTGTATTAACAATATTTCAATTCCTCGATTTGTGTTAATTAACAATGTTGTTAGTATACAAATACACGGGTTTGCAGACGCGTCGGAATATGCATACGGAGCTACTATATATTTAAGGGCAACAGATCGGAATAACAAACATTCAGTAAAACTTCTTGCTGCCAAATCAAGAGTTTCACCTCTAAAACCTGTCACTATTCCTAAACTAGAGTTATTAGCAGCAACGCTATTAACCGATCTTGTGCAAAAATTCAAAACCATACTCAAATTAAATTTGAAATATGGACGATGGACACCCACACCAAAATTCGTGAGTTCGTTCCATCTTTGAATTATTAATTTCAAGTTACCTATTAACATAAACCTATAACCCATTAAGTTATTCCTTTCATATCTAATATTTAATATGGATGAGTTAAAAAAATTAAAGCATAAACGTGGTAGTATTTTGTCACAGATTACTCTATTCGAAAAATATCTAGTTGTACTCGAGTCAAGCGATTCTGTTGATTGTGACGATTTGAATACCAGGTCACAAAAAATTCTATGCCTTTTCGATGAATATAATTTATTACAAAGTGAAATCGATATGTTGGAACCAGATGTAGATAAAAACTTAAATGAAAGAGAGACCTTTCAAAATAGATATTTTGGGGGCCTCAACAGAGCAAATCTTTTACTAAAAAAATTCACTGTTGTCAATCAAACCACTCAACAAGTTCTTGATGCTAAACCCATCAATGTGAAATTGCCACGCATTGATCTACCCGTATTTGATGGGAATTTTGCTAACTGGCGTGAATTTTACGATGTGTTTACATCATTAATAGACAAAAATAAAGATTTGCCTGATTCTCAAAAATTATGTTATCTTCGTGCAAGCTTGAAATATGGACGATGGACAGCAGGTAGGTAGTAATTTTTGCATTTCTTTATATCGTATTTGTGTTTTGTATGCCACATTTTATATTTTTTGTGTTTGAATCTTTGTTTTTGAAATGTACTTGGTTTAACCCCAATGTAGAATCACATGTGTGATACCGTTATGCTATTGTTTGTAATTGTTTACGTTTTTGGTGTAATGCTTGCTTAATTTATGCTTATTGATGTTGATTACTTGGTCTTGTCCCTGAAGTAACATTCATATAAGTTTTAATCATTTTATTTTAATATGTGGAAATTACCGATTCGTTTGATGTATGTACGTACTGACTTGTTGTTTGTTACTAACAGTTTTCTCCGTGAATGAAGCAAGTCACGGGGGTGGAAAAAAACTGTAGTCAAAATTGAGTTACAGCACCTAATTCTGTGATTGTCTTTGACATTCAAGTGTAGGCTCGATACCCCGAAACCAGGAGCGGGCTACCCATCTTGCAGGAGCGGGATTACGCTAATCAAAGCTCTTCAGTTTAGAATCTGTGCGATAAATGAATGGCGATTCAGTAATTTCCACATATCTGGTTTGTAGTTAAATTTGCCTACAAGGTCATGTAATTTTCCAACTTGTTTTTAACAAATGGACTTTATTGCACCAGAGATGGTACCTGCTTACCTGACCCATAATTCCCAAAACTTGTTTTTAACCTATATGTTACCTCTTGAAGTTTACCTGCTAGCCTGCTACTTTTTGTGATAATTTTATGTTACTCATTCACATCATTACAAACAATTAATTTTACAACACAATTTAATATTAATTTGATGGCTGGTTTTTTTATTGGTAAGTTCTTTTTTTCCCCAGCCTATCTCTATTTTATTCGGTGAATGTTCAAAGTTTATTTTTGCAATGTAATTTATTTTGGACTTAAATTTCCGAGATTTTGCAATCATAATAATTAGGATCATTATTAAACAAACCTTTCACAATTTCAGTGTTTTATTTAACGTTCCTTCTCTACTGTGCTTCAGGTCATAGCGTTGTTTATAACTAACGCAAGGGGGCCCTGCCTTAGATATTTTATCACGTGCCACTTTTCAAATTTAATTTAAGGGATCTTGTTTAGTTTTGGAGAGAACAGTCATTCGGGTGGCCATTTTTAAACGTTGCCGGGTTGAATTTATTTCCGTGTTCTTGTAGTGTGAAGTTGGTGTAGAACCTGGGGGTTAAGTACACTACAGCATCCTTCTGCATTTCATGGGTAACACATTTAGGTATAGTTATAAGCGCCCTCTATTGTGCAGCATTATAAAAAGTCAAAATTGTAACATTATGCTTATGCATTTATCACGAACTTACTAATGCTGAATTGACAAATGACACCTCCATGGGGGCAGCCATGATGTGCACTCACTTGGCGCGAAATTCAAATTAACTAATAAACAAGCATTAACCTCACGTTTCCTAAATAAATTACTGTGACACATGTCATTTTCCAAGGCTGCAATAGTCTCAAAACTTGAGCACTAGGAAAATTCCCCTAGAAAATAACTAAAATGTGCACATCATGGCCGCGCCCATGCTAGGGCAATTTCTACCTCTATGCAACTGTTTGATCAGCAGCCCATCTTAATTTATAAGTTCGTGGCATATGCATTAGATGTCGCTGCAAAAAATTCAAAGCGAATGAGTAGCTCGCCCTTGTTTAATTAAACAATGGTATTACCAATAATAAGAATATTTTAACATTTTTGGAACGACATCCAATTCATGAATCCATAAGTGTCCTTTTACAGTTTGAAACGGTACATGGTTATACTGCTGCTTAATAGAGGGCGCTTTTAAAAATACCTTAAATTACACTTGCTTTATGCGAGACAAAAAGCTACGCCCAGCCGCCATGTTGCATCAGAAATTCAAATTAGAAGTAGGCAACACACAATACACGTATGACATGTAGTAGAAAATTGATGCAACATGGGCGGAAATCTCAACAACCAATATCCAATACTATATTCTTTCAACAAACCTTTTTATTCTGGAAATATTTTCAAAAGCTGTGTGTGCCGTTCCAAGAGCACGTACGGCTCTCGCGAAAAGGGGATCGTGTTGTTTTGCTTGTGTTACTTAGTACGGATGGTAATCTTTGTATTTCTTTATAATTTGTTAAAAAACGTGAGTAACGTCAAGAAGACCGAACCTTTGACCGGCCGTCCGTCCGACCGCTCTTCGTTATATAAAGTTCAAATTTGGAACACAGATAGACCTAGAGAATGACTCAATTAAATTTGTTCAAAAATGCTCAATTAATTTGTGGTTTCGATTGCATGATCTTGTCACGAAGTTTAATTTAACTGTAGGTAATAAAAACCACGCTACGTCAACCAGATGTTGATTTCGAAACTCGTCTGTAGGTCTTGATATCCGGAACGAGGGACAACTACCCATTCAATAGGTTCGATAGAATCTTCACTTTCGAATCTATGTTACGCGATAAACTTCATTGGCGTGTAATACGTTTAGAAAGCGCATTATAAATGACGAAATTCACAATGATCAGTTGATACAATTGATTTATTCCTTTGTATTCCTTCTCGAGTTAAAAATGCGAGCGGCACTTTTCCAATTTTTACCTATAGGAGACAAATCATTATCGCGCCAACTTCGGCACGAAGAAGGTAATTTAATAAAACTTTTTTGATTGAAATTTCCGAGAGCTTGCAATTTCTAAAGTCATCGCGAAGTAACTTCAAAAAAAGTTAGAAGACGTGAAATGAAAAACGGCATTTCAAATTCGTACAATGACAAAATCGTTTCTTATGCAGAAACTCATTTTGTTTTATGAATGCATCGGAAAGAGTAACACATAATGAACTCCTTTGTGCACCATCCACCGGCATGTTGCGTTAAACCTCAA